CTCTCTCTCTCTCTCTCTCTCTGTCTCTCTTTCTATCTATCTATCTCTCTCTCTCCCTCTCTTCGCGCCCGCTGTGTTTCCTCCTCAAACAAACTGAGATTTTTAAATGAACTCCATCACCCTTCTCTTTCTTTGTTTGAGTTGGAGCTAATGATCTATCCTTCTAAGAACTGTACCATCTTCACAGCAAATCCGAGGTAGTTGGTGAGCCATTTTCAGCTGTAGCTATTACAATTTATCTCAGAGCAGTAACATTACTGATTGCCGTTTCTTGGGGGCTAAAGCGACTAAAGGCAAAGAGCAAAATCCTGTATTGGTTGCTGCTAAGCATCATCATCGCTCATCAACTTTGCATGAGTAACAGTTAGCTAACAGGCAGCTAGAAGTGTTTTGCAAGAGTCATTTTGTTTTGTTTTAGGTAGTCAAAAGTGAGCATATTTATGTGTATTTTTTTACCTCGATGTATTTCAACTGGCTTATTTTGACTGGTTTTGTGAAAATATTCAGGTTGACATTTAAATTAAGGAGCTTAATATATATCTGTCCTTCTATAGGGTATCCAAATTGTCCAAGTTTCTGTAACGTAGCTCTTTAGAAAACACCATTCATGTATCTATGGATGCACCTGAAACACAAAGTAGTAAATTTGGGAAAAGTAAAAGTTCACGATTTAGATCTATACATGATTTATTAGTGGCATCAGTGCTGTAGCAATTAGGTGCTTTGCTGCTACATGCAGAAGACCTGAGTTCGATTCCAGTATGGGGAGGATTCTTGTGAAGTATTTCGGTTTTGCTGTAGGGACGTAGCATCCCTCTCCCCCTAGATTGAACCTGACAGATATGGTCGAAGCCCCAGCCCCCCCCCCCCTTCCTAAATTATCTAAATCGTATTGGTGGAGCATAAAACACCTACGTTCAAAGAAGAAAAAAAAAGATTAACGGTTCATTCGGAACAAAAAAGTAAAAACGATTAGTTGTGCGCAGCCTCGACCATCTTAGTTGACTCACATCACTCTTTCTCATTACTCATCCCCTCTCTCCATCATGAGTCGACACCCCTGCCTCTCCCCGCCCTGCGGTTCGATGGTGCGTGTATGCACGCGCGTGTGTATGTCTCCACTATGTGGCGGAATGCTCACACGGAGAGAAAGAGCGAGCGCGAGAGAGTCCGGTGTCACCGTGATCACTCGCCTACAGTGTGACGTGCACGAGGCCCTGGTCAAACGCTCTCTGTCCCCAGAGGTGAGCACGCTTACAGCCGGAGCGGAGAGTACGCGATCTTATCTTTTGGAAGGAAAGTCTTTCCTGTTAACTGCGTGCGTTTTATAGAACTGTCGCCTAAGCTCCTACGGACCTCATGAAGGCTAAAAAGTGTTTATTCTTCTTCTAAGAGACTTTGGCTGGTGTTCCTCAAGGCTGTGTGTTTTTGTAAGTTTGAAACTTTCAGACTTGTTAATAGAAGAAAGGTCATACTTTAGCGTGAAAGTTCTCAGTCCTAGCAGTTCAAGGTTGAAGTTTTCCTGAATGGCTACGCTGACGGACACGTTCATTATTATTCTTTCTATGCTATAAAATATTTCTGTCCAGGAAAATTCCTACATATTTTCGTTTTTCTTCGTGTTTGGTTTTGGACTTAAATATAAATGATTGTGGATGAGTGTTAAAACATAGCTATCCACTCACATACTGACATAGGTGAGCCGAATATTTCTGTGGAATATTGGTAAGTTAAACCCTGAGAATATCAGCCTAGAAATGCTTTCTACGTGTAGATTGTATGTTGCATTCTTTTTTGTGTTGGCTCAATAATTTGAGTGCTTCAGGCGGCAAAGAAAATTAAGAAGTAAAAAATGCTGCAGTAAAATCTGTTGGTGTTTTTTCCAGCAAAGTACACAACAAAAAATGTCGTAACTTTTCGAAAGGCCGCTTCAAACGAATTATTTAGGGATTTTTTAAAGTCTCGACGCCTTATATTTTAAGCATCTGCTCAGACATTTCATTGACTGTTGTATTTTTCGTGTTAGCCCAAAACAGATTTGTACACAGTGACAACAGTTTGATCCATGCGCTATTTGCCCCCGGAGGAACACAGTGATTGACCCCCCCTCCCCCTCCCC